TGTTTCCCTAAAGCTGCTGGAATTTGGTCATTCTAATAATTTTTATTTGCTGTTCGTACAGTAGGATGAATGTACATCAGGTCCAAAAAATAAAAGTATCAAATGAAGATTATTTTTGCTCTAAAGAACTCTAGCCTTTGAGCTCACACTCCTTATGTGTATTTGCACTCCCAAGGAACTGAAGATGGAGAAAGCAAATGAGGTAAGGACAACACCCAGCTGTAGCCTGGGATCAGTACGTATGATGGGGCCATCACTGTTGGCATCAAAGCTGTAGGAAGCAAATGGTAACCCTGAGCAAGTGGATGGCAGAGCTGCTAGGAGCAGCTGGTGGCATGAGGCTGGCTGGAGGACAAATATGAATTCTGAATCCCTTGTACCAAGGTGATGTTAGAAGCTGGTGATTTAGACAGAAATTAGAAGATGATGGACTTCTTCAAGTATAGGAGCAGGATGCTCTTCAGAAAGAGCAGCAGGATGGGGAACTTAACCCTGTGGGATGTGAAAATGGGTGACTGATTGTCATCATTGATCAACAGGAAAAAATGGATTACCAGTAGTTAAATTGGATAAGAAATAGGGGAAAACACATAGGGCTAACCTTATTTGGAAGGGTGGCTGTATTGGGTTATAGTTAAAGATATTTGTATGAGCCTCTAAATAGTACAGTGATTTTGGAGAACAGTCGAAGGCCATAGAAACAGCAAGAATCCTTCTAAACTTCAGATGGCTAACTGTAGCAGCTTGATACAGAAAGCATCCGACCTTAAAAGTTGACTTAGAAATTGAACACAGATGAGGAAGAAACAAAATCTCATTTTGGGTGAAAGGACAGCTGATAATATGTTAGGTAGTAGGTGAACAACTATTGTCTCTGATTTCACAAGATCATGTGAGTTTTGAGGACTGACGAAATGCTGCACAGCTGATTTAGGCTGTTCAACGTCCTAGTTTGGTTTCACAACCTTCTGCATCTTGCATTATTTCACAATAGAGTCTACAAGAGGCAAGAAATGAGCGTGTAGTTTCTTCTTTCCTTGACTGTTAAGCCTTAAACTTTAGAAGGGTAGGCATTCATAATTTTACTCTGACCTGCAACTTGCTGTTTTGTTCAGTAGTATGACTTTGCTTAAATCGTAATACTTGATTTTAATGTGCTTCATCACTTGGCCATTTTCCTTCAGTGATTGGTATTTTGGGCATTTTTTGTGTGTTCCTTGTAAGTGAGGGGATGCAACATAAATTTCTTCTTGGTGCTGCTGTTTATAAACATGCAATCTTACATGCATATATTACAAGCATCTATTTTAAAAAAAAAAGAACTGAGTAAAGTCATAGAATATCTTTAGCAAATGATGGCATAAGCCCTATAAGTTTTGTTTTGCTGTTCTGAATGTGTATGTTCCTCTAGCAAAATTAGCGTTGATGGCACATTCACAGGTTGAGGCTGTTGGAAGACCTTAGGAGCTACATACATGAAGCAGTATTAAAAAATAAGTTTGTTTTCTTGAGATTAGATTGTGTAGAGATTTTTGGAAATAAGCCAGACAATCCAGTGATAAGGAATTGAGAGAAAACTGCGATTAGGAGTCTGCCTTGGCTCTGCAATTTGCACCTATATAACTACTTTTGTGCTGCAAATTGCTTTTCATATAAAGTGAATGATGGTGAGGTGCTGTGAAAAGGGAAATTGAGCATTGTGCCATTGAGAAAATATAAAAATAAGGAGGCTTTTTTATTCCAGGAGTTAGATATGTGTAACTTGTGTTTTGTTTGGTTTTTTTATCAGTCCGCATCCTCATGTCAAAATTGCTTACATTTCTTCAAAGGAAGGTGTAAGTCTTGAGACACTGATACTTTAAATGCGGTCATTGGAATGAGCGTTCCTCCCCACTTGCGGTGAGTGTTGGCAACATTTTGTTGAGAAAGTTGTGGTTCAGATAAAGTGAAAGAATATTAAATTATTTTTAACTTCTGAGTGTTTGACCTCAGAACTTTGCATTTTGGTTTAGTCTTGAGTTTTTTACTGAGCTAATGAGCAAAATTAAGTCTTGTTAATGACACAGGATTGTGAGGAAGGAAATGAAAACCTGTGTTTGCTGTGCCAAATCTTACATGTGTTGTTGAGAATGCTACACTGAGGTACAGAAAAAATAAAATAGTTGCTTTGTATGCTTTTATTTTCAGTCCTGTCATTTAGCTGTTACCATCTGCTGTTTTGGCCAGCAAACGTGCATTTGACTTCTACCTCTGAATGCACAGGTGCGCTTGTCACAAAGTGCCACCTGTGTAAGTGGTATTAGACTGCAACCACTGTTAGCCATCTAAACCAAAACACCAAACATTTTTTAGTGTCCTGAATTTTAGATTGTGAACTGGCATCCTGTTGTTGAAGACAAGCACTAATGGGTGGTCTATGCCATAGCACCATGTTCTGTGTAGTGGTGTTTACAGGGCTATGGCATTATGTAAAAGCAGAGTATTTTAAGATCATTGGAATCAATGGTATTCCTCCTTCCGGTGTGCAGGGCATCTGTTTGTATGGTATCTGCCTTTAAAGAAGAGCAGCACTCTCAGGTCAGCCTGGCACCTAATCAGAATAGGATTGCAACTTGTTAGATTGGGATCAGCAGATAATTCCCTTGGTTTCTGCTATATGGTTGCACACTAAATAGCGGTGCACAGAGTGATCAGAACAACAGGTTAGGCATGTATGTTGAACTGTACACAAAGGTCTGTAATAAAGGCAATTTTGCTAGTTTCTCTACTTAGGAAATTTGCATGAAAATGCATGTGATGCCAGACTTGCACAGACTTCTTGGCAATGGGAGGAAATATCGCTCTTGCATGTTGTTTGATCTATTACAAACCAATGTTGGCAGTAGGATTTGGCTTAGAGAGAGGTCGTCAGTGTAATCTGTGAAGCAACCATTTAAGTGGGTTGCAGGTTTCTTCATGGTAGCTTCCCAGCCCTTAGTTTTGCAAAATGGAGTTTTGCTCCAGTATACGTTTATTGTTACATTACCAAAAGACAAATGTTCTGTGAGGAGGTTAAATTTGTGTGGCTCACCCCAGGGGGGTGGAAATCGGGGTGATCTAGGTATAATGTTAGCTGGTAAATTCTGTTCAGAATGGGTAGAAAAGCTTGTTTCACTTAGCACTTCCTTGCAGAGCAAGTGGACCTGGGGCAGTGTTTAGAGCCTTTCTGTACAGATCCTGGTTTGCCTTTGTTTTTACAACTCTTATTTCACTGCTTACACTGGAAAATTATTTAAAACTCAAGCTGGGTATTTCAGGTGAAGAACCTTTCAAACTGGCTTTGAAGAACAGCGTCTTCTCTTAAAATTTCTAGGGGCTCAGGGTTTTTTCTCACCTCAATATTTTATTTCATTGTCCTTAAAACCGGCAGCAAAGCTGTTAAGCTTAGTCAGCACTGTACTCTTTACACTTCATAGACTTTGTTTCATAGACTTTGTTTCTACTGAGCCTGCCTTCCTACTCTTGGAGTTGGGGTTCACACACCTTGAAATTAAGACAAAGAGGAAAAGAGACAAGAAAACATTATCCTTCGTGTTGTAGGCTTCTGCACAGAGGAGCTTACTCTGAGGGCTTTTACCAGTGTCCTTCTGGAGACATGGACATGTTTGGATCTGTTTTGGTTTGCATTCAGTTCCCTATAACTTTCACTTCACAGAGTAGTAGACTGTTTCGTGGGTTTGAGGTTAGGTACAGTTTTGCCTGCTTGCTCTCATGAAAAGTGTATTTTTAATGGGTTTGGGTTTTGGTTTTTTTTCTTTTCAGTGTGCATTTTAAGAAAGTGCATCTGTCTTTGCTAATGTGTTTGTTCTTTTTTGATGGGTTTACTATGCCGAGTAGCTCTGCCAGATTTATGCAGGTGACTTTGTGGGATGGGACTCTGTCAATCCAAGGTTTGGGAATCTTGGGCAATCGCAGTGCTTTGTACAACAGTTTAGTTATGCCTTATGGCGTAACACTGAGATTTAGTCTTTTGGAGTGAATTGACACCTCCTCTATCAAGACGCTGAGGAAGTTGATGCACATGTGGATTCTACAGAAATTTATTCCCTTTGAAATAGGGGATGGAGGGAGCCGGTGGTATCTTTGTGCCACTTTAATATCTTCTTTCTTTTTAGGCAGTTCCTTGTAGCTGTGATAGATTCATGCAAGGTATCTCCATAGTTTTGTGCCATTAAAATGTTCAAAAACTTGTCATTTGAAAGGAAATGCCTCAAGGTTTTCAGTTTATACATATAACTTTAACTTCCTACAGTGGTGGGGTTTTTTTAGTTAAACATTCTGTCTTTGATTAAGAGTATTTCTGTACATATATCTGTATATCAGATTATTGTACTTGACTGTGTAGAATACTTGTGCTTTATGTCTAATAACCATCAAAGTCAAAATGAACTCTGTTTCAAGAGAGATTTTTATGTTAATATTTAAAAGAGAAATAATAAATAGTGAATATCCTGTCATACTCTGATCTATTAAGCTGCATCTGTCATGCTTGTTTCACTCAAAACTAAGAAAAGGTTGAGCAGTGTTGAGGTCTTGTCTTAAAGATTTAAAAATTATCTAAAAACTGTGTACACCTTGCTGTTTCCTTTCAATGCAAGCACTGAACTGAGGTACATAGGGGCTTAAGATGTCAGTGTCCTTTTTTTGGCATTGTTACTGTATGTCTTAAAACGTATGCAAATACATAGGTTTCTTGTCTTCTGCCTGTATACAACTCACTTGTCCAGTATTGCACTACCACTGGCTCACCCTTCCAAAATTCAACACAGCATAAGAAACCTGGTTAGGTCCACCATACTCCTGAAGAAACCCTTTGAAATAGTGAGACACAGTGCATGAGCTGCTTGAATGGTCACTTCCTCGAGAGCACATGGATTGTAATTTTCCCCCGCAACATAAGCCTTTGCTTTGTGGGAATGTTAATGGTAAATCCTAGTTTTCTGTTTTTCTGTTTCAGTATGTATGACCAATTGCCCTACTCTGATTGTTATGGTGGGTCTCCCAGCAAGAGGAAAAACCTACATCTCAAAGAAGCTGACACGATATTTAAATTGGATTGGAGTGCCCACAAAAGGTGATGGATTTACTTTTGTTTACATCTGATGTTAGGTGTTTTATAAATTTAATTCCCAGTAATTTCATTGCCCAATTTGACTACTTAAAATCCTTCTGCTTTAACTTATTTTTAAGCAATAGCATACACAGGCTCTCTGTTCTGTTCAGATGGTAATTAATCAAATTCTGGTGACTGTTCATGTACCTCCTTGTTCTGCCAGGTGCCTAAATCAACTTTTTGCCTTGTCCCTTAACACTCTGGTTCTTCAGCTGTCCTTTTTTTTTTTTTTCCCTTCCCCTTTCTTTATGTGGGTGAAAGGGAATCTTGTTTACAAATGGGCAAGCAGTCAACACTTCTGGGTTAAAGTTCTGCCTTCTCCATCTTCTTTTCTCTGTGAGCTTAGTGCAATGTGTAAATTCTCTGTGTAAGGCTTTGTTTAACTGCACTTGTGGAATGAGTTACAGCTCTTTGTCTGAATATTAAGAGCCCAAGTAACTGAAGCAGCCACTTGTTACCACTCTCTTAAGGACTTTATATGTGTGTTTTGAATGGGAAGTGATGGCTAGGATTGGCTATGCCAAGGACCTGGCTGTCCTACCTCATTCCTGAGCTCCTGTGGTATCTTGTGTGCCCAGATTGACAAGTAAAAAAGGCCTGAGTCCATTTGAGGTTCTGAGTGGCCATCTCCCCTGCCTTCTCCTCTATTTCAGTAGAAGAAAAAGATAGTTCTGGTGTTCTGTGATTCTGTGTCTGGTGCAGTAATGGTAGCTTTGTAGTTATGACTAGTTAATCATTTAAATAACATTAAACATATTAGATCATACTAAAGCATAGACTTTTGGCTGGAAATTCAGAGATGTATTTCCTAGTAGCTCTAAGAAATCAAGACGGAGAGTTCTCACCTATATTTAAACTGCCTTTGGATTCTAGGGTATAGCTTTTGGAGTTCCTGTTTTCTTAAGGTCTTAGAAACTTGTCTAATATGCTTTTTTTAGATAAGATGTTATGGAGGATACGTTATATTGTTTGAGTATGAGAGTTTACAGGATTTAAATTAGCACCTAAGTTTTGGCTGTTTTCACACAGGGTCACCCTTCTGATGTGCAGTATCAGGTATTTAGGGACTTCAGTTTTATCCATTAGGTTGAAATGGAATAATAATCTAAATATGTCAGCCTATATCCAAGCTGATAAAATCTATAATATATGTGTATATAGATATGTTATGTATATATGTCATGGTGTTGAGCGTTTTACTATGTCAACTGTGAAAAGCAGAAATTCAGTATTGGACAACAAACAAAAGATACTGTCCATGTCTGGCTTGTGTTTGGTTGAATATATCCCAAATACAGTAAAATAGGTGGGGGTGGTCTGCTTCAGTTACAGGAAAAGTTTCACGGGCTACTGTGAGCAGCACATCAGAAAATATATGTGCCTGTGCTTAATAAAAATAGTTACAACGTTGCTGCCTAATTTTATGTAAAGTTGCTATATGAGCTTCCATCCTAGGTTGCTGGATATGGTTTGTCTTTGTGAGAAAGGGTGACTCGGGATTTTCTTGGAAAACCACAGATCCTTCCTGTTGTTTGTGTCATCAGTGCTGCAATTTTACTGGAACTGAAGTAAATTGAAAATCCCTCACTAACTGAGCGAATAGATGACACGTTGCCTAATGCATCCAGTTGACTGGGACTGAACTGATACATGATAAGTATTGAGTAGCCCTAACAGCTGTTACCCTTTAGCTCTTAATGTCTTAAAATTAGTGTGTACTTAATGTCGTAAGTGGTCTTATTCTGAGACAGATGGTTAAAATTACGAGGTTATATAAACCAGGGAAAAGATAAACACCATCAATTCATGTAACATACATTAGGCAAGTTGGAGAGTTCAAGAACAGAAGGTGGAGGTAAATAGCCCAGGGTTGATGTTAGTTGAATCATTTCAGCCATCAGTTCTGTGTTTGCTTTTGTTCCTTCCAAAATACTCTGTCATTTAGAATGTGAAATGGTTAAAAATACAAAGGGCTTTTGTCTGGGCTTTTTGAAGGAAATGAGGTCAATTAGATGCCTGAATAGAATTCTGTTGCAGTGTGGTTTTTAGATACTGAACTTTGGGAAGCTTTTTTGAATAGTTCTGGCTGTGTGGTAGTTGTGATACCAGTTAGCTTTGTGAAACTGTTCCACAGGGATGGATGCTAATAATAGGGACTAAAGATCATCCCACTAGATAGCACTTTTTCCTTTGCTGTGCATGACTCTCCTGCAGTAACTATTTTTTCTTAGGAAATTAATTAGTTTTGATTTTTAAAGTGCTGTTGCTTGATAACACTGGCCATCTGAACTTCTTGCATCTTCTGTTTTTCTTATAAGGACTCACCTTTTCATGTAGCCAGTATGGCCAGTGTTCATTAAACCTGTCACAGAATAACGTGGATTGTACTATAATCCATGTCATACAGTTGACCACAAAAAATTACATCAACATTGTTCAATTAAAACAAAACTTGACTTTTGTGGAGATAAACATTTATTTCCTTATCCTCTGCCTCCCATTCCCAACAGCAATCTATATACAACAGTTTATGGTTGAGCTCTTTTATCCTATGTCTTTTTTTCTTAATTACAACTCAGAAATTGTGTCTGTTGCTTCTTTTCCTCTTTCCAGAAATGAAGCCTGGCAAGTAGTTATACCTTGGCAGCTTCTCAAACAGAATACTTCAGTTTGATCTAAAGTTAAAAAAAAAATTGCTTTGCAATTCAGCAGAGAAAACCTATAGGTCAGAAACAAGTTAAACATTGATTGCACTTCAGAGACCTACTTTCAGAGCTGTCGAATGAAGTTAATTAGGGTACAGTGTCATTGTCTGCTGTGTGGCAAAAGAGAACTGCCTTGCCCTAATGCCATATCTGATTTTGTGATGTGTGTGGCTGTAGACGTTATAGACCTTTGCCCAGATAAGGAGTAGTTTTCTTTGACTACTGTTAAGAGATGACAGTAAGATTATGTTCAGTACTTAGGCAGTTTTTTTATTAATGTGGTGGGTTTTTTTTTTTTTTTTTTTACAACTTCAGCATTTTTTTAGATAAATGGAATAGGGTTGTGAAATAGTATGTACTGGTCCTTAAGGAAAAGAAATATTTGAGCAGAGTTCCGAAAAAATGCTTCCACAACTTGAATTTTAAGGTTCATTTATCAAAAGCAAGATTGGTTAGTGCTATTTAGAACTCGTCCTTGCTTAAATAAGAGCTGAAAGTTTTGGGAGGTGCTGTCAGAATAATATTTCACTGCACACATATACAGAAGAAGAAGCTAGATTATTAGTAGTCCTTTGTAGACTACTGAAATAGACTTCCAACCACCCCTGCAAAGGAGGAAAAGAGTGTTTTTTGTTGTTCAGGCAAACTGGCAGACAGAGGCACAGCAGTATGGCCAAGTGACTCCATTGAAGGTACCTACGGCCCAAATGTTCTTTTGCCATTTCCATGATTTGTATTTAAAAACAAACAAACCCACCAAAACACAAGAAGTAATATGATATGTTGACTTCATACATGCTAAATGATTTTATCCTTGCAGGTAGTTTGGTTTCAAAGCTGTCATAACTTTTTGTCCTTTTTATGTGAATACCATTAGTTCCCACTAATACTGATTTCTTCTTGGCAGAATTTAATGTTGGTCAGTATCGTCGAGATTTGGTGAAAAAATATAAATCTTTTGAATTCTTCCTGCCTGACAATGAAGAAGGCTTAAAAATCAGAAAGTAAGTTTTGAATTTGTTTGGCTAGACAACGCTAATTGTATTAAAATTTCCTATTAGAGATTGGTTTAAGTTGCATTTTTTATATGCTCAAGATGACCCTTAAGAGACTGCTGTATGAAATGGCAAGGAAAATAAATTCTAGAGGAAGCGGAAAAGTGATTTGTTTAGGCTGCTTAAAATTTGGGGTGTTTTTTTCTTAATTGCTTCATCTCAAGCATCAAAAATGCAGAGAAGGTAAATACTTGATTCCTTTTCACCTTTCCATAGGCTGTGACTACTGTTATTCCTGCAGATACTCCAGGATATTTTCACTCAAAGCAATTTTATATAACAAGTAGTTATTATTTTTCTTACCTTTTTGTAAGGTGTCAGCTAATAGATGTGGCTCTTTGTGCTGTCTGATTCCTAAAATACTATTTTAGAGCTTTTGTGTGGATCATAAAGAAGAAAAAAAACCCATATAACTGCTTTTCCTTTTGGTTTGCATACTGTAATTTTTCACATGGAGTGCTTTGAAAATATTTGTCATTATCCATTCAAATGAACAGAAATGAAAGACTATTATTCTCTCCCTGAGATTGTCTTTTTGGCCACCATGCAGGTGCTTCATACAGTCAATCAGTGCACTGCCTCAAAAATTGCTGTGTTTTGCTAATGCTATGCAAAGCAAGGTGAGCACTAGTGTGAACATCTGTGCCCAGATGAAGCGCTTGAAACGCCCCTCTTGCTTCGAAATAGTCTGCACTTTAATGCAGAGGAAAGACCTTTAGAAGAAAGAGAGGGTCGGAGCAAGAGGGAGCTGCCTCTTTCTTGTAGAAGATCAAATAGGAAGATGTTTTGATTCATTGTCTTGTTTTGTATGTTCAGGAAAACTTTTTAAGAGAATGCAGTATGAAATAAGAAGGACCAAATTTTAGAGGAATGGAAATGCAGTTTGTTTAGGCTACTTAAAATACAAATTATTTTGTTCTTAATTGCTTCAGCTCAAGAATAGAAAATATCTGGACTTTCCTACTGTCTGGACTTTGTTTTGTGGCTGGCTGTCTGCTTGTCCCCTCTCTCTTCCCTTTCTTCTTCAGCAGCAGTTGAGTATTGTTAATGTCAAAGAACAGCAGCTTGCCCAAGAACTTCCTAATCTTTTGAGACCAAAGAGTGCATTAGCTTTGCAAGCCCCTACCTTTAGCTTAGAGGTAGACCCAAATGTTTAAAATGCCTCTGTGTCACCTGTTAGACTAAGTGATGAGGAATATAGCATGAAATGGGCTGGGTGAGCTAATCTGCCTAGTTAGCAATGAGTAAAGAGGTTTTATATTTATTTAGTGAAGATTTGACTGATGAATCTCAGTTCCTGACATCTATTAACCGTGCCAATGCGGAAATACTGTCAGGATTGAAAAGCCTTCATTGTTCTTTTAAGATAAAGCTGTGCATGCAGAATATGGTAAACGTAAGAGAAGAGTTACTCATTTCAGTCTGGAAATCAAAATAATAATGCATAGAAAGGCTGTTGAAACGGCCTTTTTTTGGTTTTATGTTGGTACTGCAAAAAGACTGTACTTACTGGAAATAAATGGGGCTTTGTTCTACTAGTGAGTAAATCGTGCACAAGGTTAATGTTGCCCCCTGATATTATTTATGTGTCAGAAATCATAATGGACTTTGAAGATAATACTAGTGCTGGGGAAATAGGAAAGTTGCAAATGAATTTATTCTTGCCCAGATTTAACACAAGTGTAAAGTATGTAGGGGTGGGTTTTTTTGGTGTTTGTGTCCTCAGTGTTCTCCAGTACTAATTACATTGGGTTGATGACTAGAATGGAATGTTATTTTCACCTCTGTCCCTAATACTTGGTGCTAATTTTGTTTTACGCTCTGTTTTAACAGATTTTTTTGACATAAGCAGTTTTTACACAATAGTTCAGAAGAGAAAAAGTAGATTACTAAAAAATAATTGTCCATCCACTTTAACTTAGGGCCACAAGATAAAAGCCTTAAGTTGATTTATTTTTTCCGCTCTTTGAGAATCAAATTAAGAAGCAAATATCTATGAATAGGTGATTAGGAAAAGAATACAGCTGCAGGGATGATTCAGTGATGTTACTTTGTATCAGTGAAAGTTTAGCAAAGTTGATGGGTATCCTGTGGTGATGTGTAGTTGTATCAGTTGCACAGAGGAGCACTGGACTGGTCTTTTTTTAGGTGGATGGCCATGACCATGTTTCCTTAGTATAGCTTGGTTGACCTCTGTTGCTTTTTCCTGTGTTTGGGGTAGGGAGTGCTGATTAAAAAAACATGTGTTTTTGAGAGACATTATCTAACATTTGCAGGGCACTTTGATCACAATGCAATGACTTTAACTGGCATTTGAGTTTTACTCTCTTTCATTTTTAAGACAGTGTGCCTTAGCAGCGCTGAATGACGTCCGACAGTACCTCAGTGAAGAAAATGGGCACGTGGCTGTAAGTTTCTTGTTGAAGACACATTCTTGAGATGCTTCCCTACAAAACAGTGTGTGTCTGCTGGATAATATACAGCCTGAGTAATTCCAATATCTCTTCAGTATATCAGATTTTTTTTTCTTTGGGAGTTGTATGTTAGATCTGCTTTGTTGCTGCAGTGAAAGGAGCACTTAAGTTCAGGGTGATGGTGCCATTATCGAGCAACCACCTTTGTGATTTGAGGAGTTAACTGAGGCAAGGGTAACACTAAGAAAAATGTCCCCCTTCTCTCCACGTTATATAATGCACTGTTAAACACATCTGTTGTTTTGGTTGCACTTGTGTGTCTAGTGCTAGTCTAGTCTAGTATTTCAAGTGAAAGGTAAAGACTTGCTGAGCAAAAAGCGTTCTGGGTAGTGCTTGGCAGTTGTGTTACTGACATGAGAAATCTCTGAAAAGAGCAGGAGAAACTCAAAGTAAATTGCTGCATATCTGAGTATTTAATAACGGGATGCAAAACATCAGCTATTGACATTCAACTATTGATGTTGCATATTCACATTGATTTGCATAACATTGATTTTCTTAAGACTACTGACACAACTGTGTGGTGTTTTCATTTACTGATCAGAGAGAACCATTAACTGTAATTTTAAGTTCTGCTGGGGACATGAGATAAATTTTATACTTTGGCAAACTTCTTTCTTTGGTAAAACACTGGTGTGTTCAGAGCTAAATGTAGATTCCTAGAAAAATGGCTGCATATATCTTGTAATTAATGGGCAGGATTTACAAGTCTTGCAGACCTTCTTTAAAAGTTTTACACTCACATTTTGAATAGCATATTGATGGCAGCATCTTTTTTTGTGTAGTATGAGTTCACTAAAAATCTGTGTATTAGTATTTAACGCTGATATGGGCCAGGAGGAAGATTCTGTCCTGTATTATGTGTTAGGTTTAAATTCTGGTTGTTTCTTCCAAATCCAGTGTTCTGCTAGTAGTGCTTTCAAAATACTGCTCTTTGTTTAGTATTTAGAAAATCATGTGTGTAAAGTAGGAATGTCTTTTGTTTTCCTGTTAAGCATGTTGAGGGACTTTGAACCCTTGGTTTTGTTTTTACTAACACAGTGTTTTTCACAGGCTATGATGCTTTTTTAATTCCTCTCTCTCTCTCTCCCCTCCCCATAATTATTCCTAGGTCTTTGATGCTACAAACACTACTCGAGAACGTAGAGAAACTATTTACAAATTTGGTGAAGAAAATGGATATAAGGTGAGTCAGAAGCAAAGGAGTTTGGAGCTAATTCCTGGACAAGTAAGGCAGTGATAGTTTTTCCCTTATCTGTACTCTGAGTTAAGAAGTGCATTAGCATAAGCCGCATCCTTCCTAGATGTTTAGGTAATAGCGCATTTTGTGTTCTCCAGCATTGTTTGTGATTAAAAGTCACCCAATCCTCATTTTTCTCATCGTTAATATTTGTACTGTTTGGAGCTAATCTTTTTTATGCTATGGCTTCAATTCTGTCATCCTGGACCTGTGGTTCTGCGTGTCTGAAGGCAAGAACTATTTAAAGTATGGCGCAGTTCAGATTTTTGCTGCAGAAACATGTAGCAAATTCTGTGTTAGTTCTGTACAAACCAAAAACTCTGTGGCTTTCTGTCTTCTGTCCAGAATTGTTTTGCATTTAGCTGTTTTCCAGTAATCTTTCATTTCATCTAAACTTGCATCTCCATAAACCTTTGAGATGGCAAAACACAAATCTCTTTTTAAGTGAGGCTACTCCATTAGTTGAAAGGCTTCAAAATTATTATTTCAGAAGCATTAGGTACTGTTTGTGTGGCTGAACTTGCATCCTCTGCATGTATTTCTTCCTCTTCCATCCTGAATTTTTCTTGTTGCAAAAGTTTTCCACTTACAAGCATTGTTGGGGAAAAGAGTATAGAGCATGATGCTTCAGGGAGTGGTAAGCCCACAATTTCTGATGAGAGGGTCTGGAGAAACCTTCTGAGTAAATGCAGGGAAGTTTAACGCATGGCTCAAAAAGTGATTAGCATGGAAGCAGGCAGCATGCTGCTCGTGTGTGTTAGTCTCCAGAGGTGTTTTAACGCATCTTCCTTTTTCCTTCCTTCTGTACACATGACTTATGGTTTGGACTGAAGACTTTTTTTGTTGAGTCAGTATGCGTAGATCCAGAGGTCATTGCTGCAAACATTGTGGTGAGTATAGGAAAGTTTGCTTTAACTGCTTTAAGTCAAGAGGTTTAAAGTAGCTCATTATTTTTAGAAGTACATTATAAGAACTTCCCATAGCAAAAAAACATTAACTCCCCTTACTGCAACACTTTTAATTTATTTTCCTTCCTAACTCAGAAGTTTAATTCTACGAAGAATAGCTCTTTTTTGCTTTACATGTATTTTAATTAACTTCCAGAAAATAAGTTTTTGTGTTGTGTTCTCCACCTTCCTATTTCTTTAAACTTCCATTAAAAATGGAAAGAAACTTCTGTGCTACTCTCCTGTTTTTATTTTAAACAGCAAGTGAAGCTGGGTAGTCCTGACTATGTTGATTGTAGTAACGATGAAGCAACAGAAGACTTCATGAAAAGAATAGAGTGCTACAAGAACTCATATGAGACATTAGATGAAACTCTTGACAAGTAAGTGATGAAATAATACTGTGACCACAACTGGGTTATTTTAAGATATTTCCTTAGGGGATGGAGCATCCCGTATCGGGGATTGGGGCTTTCTAGTCATGTTTTTTTTTAATGGCTTGAGCTCTCTTTCCTTTGGCAAATTAAAGCCTGGAAACTTGCTTGCTTGAGGAATATTGGCTAACAAGTCTACTCTGGGAAAATATTCTTTTTGATTTTTCCCACTTGGGGAATAGTATGATTCTTCTGGTATAGAACCACCATTTAGAAATTATTCCAGACTTGCTGTAGTGGTTGGTTGCCACCTGCTTTTTTTTAGTATGTAGAGGAGACCTGAGTGATTTGTAAGCAGAACTTCATTTGTTGACATGGCTAAGATGAATTTTGAACACATCAGTCTTCAAAATATGACTTCTATATTTATTTATTTGTGCTTGCAAATTATCCTGCAGATGCAGGGCCGTGAGAAACTTTCTTAGCTAGATTATTTGCCCTCATGCCAAAGCATTAATCTGTTTTTCATTCACTTTCAACACTTGAAGGTAGGGATGAACTATGTGAGGGAGGAGCCCTGTTTCTCTTGCTGCAGTCCAGGATTTCAGTATGGGATTTTGAGGTGCGCTCATGCCAGGTGCTCCTGGTTTGTTTCAGGACCAGTGCTATAGAGAAGGCTGAGCTGCATTTTAATGTAATTGAGTGTAAGCAGTGTGAAGCTGGTTCAACCAGATCAGTTCATGCATGTAATTTCTGTGATGGACGCTAATGGTTGTGCCTGGATGAAATAGTAATGATTAACTCCAACAAAGGCTATCAGACATGAAGTGGTGATGCTTGCTTCTCATCACCTCCATTTGGTTTTATTATAAGCTTTCTTGTTTTACTGTGGTGTGATGTCTCAAATGCATTGCTAGAAACCAGGAGTGGTTATTTTCAGCTTATTAATTTTTTTCCTCCTTTAAACTAGATGCTAGTCTGAAATTATAGCTCAGACAAGAAAGGATAAGCACTGAAAATTGCAATTATAACCTGTCTGATGCTGAGAGAAGGTAGTGGTGCAGTAAATTACAGTACTGTTAATAAATAGTTGTTGATAGAGTGGTTGAGAAAATGCTTTGCTTCAGGCTAGTCCCTGGTCCTTCTGATGCTGTAGTTTTTCTGGAAGGGTTCACCGAGATGGGTAAATAGTGACTGTGCTTTTTGGCCCCTGGGTGCAATCACACAAATACTTGCTGTGGGGGAAGCGTTTGTAACCTGGAGAAAAGTATCTAAGAATGGTGAAATACCTGGATATTGTGTTGAAGCTACCACAGTTGAATGACTCCACTGAATCTTCCTTTCAGTGGGAGGACTGTATTTTTCTAAGAGTAGGATCTAGATTTGACAGACAAAGTGCAAGTAAAGGGAACAGAAGTGATGTGACTGGCTTACATGTGAAGGGCATAGAGTTCATCCTGTACCTTTGAAGTATTGCATTGTTTCTTAGGACTAATGCATATTCCATGGGTAATTGAGGGTTTGTTTGTTGCTTTGGCTTGTTTGTCCCTTTGTTTTATAATGAGAGAGAGGGTGGGAAGATTGTGGTACATGCTAATAGAAACTGTGGGGAATCTTACATATTTTTTTTCTGTTTGCTTGTGAAAGGGATCTTTCTTATATTAAAATTATGGATGTTGGAAGGAGTTACCTTGTGAACAGAGTAATGGATCACATTCAGAGCCGGATTGTCTACTACCTCATGAATATCCATGTGACTCCTCGGTCAATCTACCTCTGTCGACATGGAGAAAGTGAACTCAATCTGAAAGGGAGAATAGGAGGAGATCCTGGACTGTCTGTCAGGGGGAAAGAAGTACGTACCTCCTGAACAAGTATGACTGGGTTTTGTGTGTATTTATATACGTGTGCAGTTTGTGCTGTGTAATTACAGCTTTCTTTCTCTACACCCTTTTCCTCTTAACATGTTTAAGAAGGATTTTTTTTAGTTGCATATGTGGGTAGTGGAAACTGGATGGACACGCTTTGTGTTGTGATTTGGTACGTGCTCTTTTATCTGTCTCTCGTACTGTTGGTTGAAATTCCTTTTTATCCTGCAGCACAAAGCACATGTCAAGAGGGCTTTATTTTTTAACTGTATTTTAGTAAAATCCTGACTTGTTGGATAATTGGGAAGGTTCACAAGTTAAAGCTGAAAGGAAAATTCCTTGAGGTAAAGATGGGAACTGCAGAAAACTTGTATCTTCCTTGTACTCCTTTCCTTCCCTCTCCTGTCCCTCTTGGCTTACTGGAATGTGTTGTATTTCTTAGCAAGAACTTTGACAGAGCCTTTTGGAAAAGTTATAATGAGTTTACGGAGGCTAGAGCCAGTGTGTTCCAAACTGAACACAGTGTGTTGGCTCTTGAACCCTCATCCAGTGTCTCATGGTTTTTCTTTCAGTTTGCCAAAAGCTTGGCACAATTTATTAATGAGCAAAATATCAAAGATCTGAAAGTTTGGACCAGCCAGATGAAAAGGACAATTCAGACTGCTGAAGCCTTGGGAGTGCCTTATGAACAGTGGAAGGTTTTGAATGAGATAGATGCAGTAAGTTTTTTTTTCTAAATGTCTAATAAGTTGCTTTGTTTGCTAGGGATGAAGGACGTGCTTAATTTAGTAATGGTATGCCTTTTATGGGATAGAAAGTCATTTAAGCTGATTCTAGAGGCTGGAAAAATTGTCATTAATTCCTGTTAACAAGGCTAAATGTTTTATTAAATTTTGCCATAATTAATTTAGTCTTGGTTTGTCTTTGCCAGTAAAACATTCCCCTGTAGAAGCCACGATGCTATGAAATTTTTGGTAGGTGGGGTCGCCAGTTGGCACTTTCCAACTGCACCTGTAAGATATATAAGCAGGTGCAATTAGATAAAATGTTACCTTGCTCAGTGACCTTGCTTGCCCATATATATAACTTCACTTCCATAGGAATTTAATGATTCTTTCTAACCACATTTGAGTCCAGCTGAGTGTCATGTTCATCATGAGTAGCAGTTTTGTCTTCAAGTGCCAGACTAACAAAATACAGTTGTTAAATGTTATTTATATATGGTTTTATTTGAGTGGTATCTGCTTTTTGCACTGCTGGAAAGACGTACTTTTTAATTATTTTTATTACCTATAGGGAGTGTGTGAAGAAATGACATATGAAGAAATACAGGAAAATTACCCGCTTGAATTTGCACTGAGAGACCAAGACAAATATAGATACAGATACCCTAAAGGAGAGGTATGCTATTTTTTCTCTCTTGAGGTGAAGGGCTTCTTTGTTGTTTTGGATACATGCATGCTGGCTTTAGGAAGGAAAAAATAAATTTTCAGATTAATAAAAAGCTTTTTCCTTTCTGCCTGGGAGACCACATAGGAGCTTGCAGGGATTGAGCCCAGACCATTTAATTTGATTCAGGGCTTGAGAAATAAAATAGATCTCTAAATACAGTTGAGAGCTTTGATCTTGTGGGCATCGTTTCTATGCTGGTCCTGCAGTGATAAAGCAGGAAGAATGATTGCAAGGCTTCAAACTATTGCATATGCAAACATACTGCCAGGGTTGCCGCCTTCTATTCATCCTTGCTGTAGATAATGGCTGTTTTGCATGCAGTTCTGGCTGAAGTGCTACGGAAATCTGTAGCCACATTGGTCTTTCACTTTAATAAACTCCTTGCCTCTGGGAAAATAACTTGCTGACAGCTGTTCTGAAGGAAACCCGTTACAGCGCAGCAATTACCAGATGGTCACACGGCCTGTCTGTGGGTGCCAAAGCTTAGGATTCAGGGCAAGCAGGGCAGAGGAGTAATTGGACCAGCTGCTCCGCTGTTTGTGCCATGAGGATGAGGAGCTCGGCGGTCCTCTTTCCTCAGCAGTCAAGAGTAATCACTGTGCTAAGAGCAGCTTGTGATAAGAGCACTGTTCTTGCGGGTATGACCTGTCTTACTAATAATGCAGTCATTAAGCTGCAAAGTTCTCCTAATCCGTTAGAACAAGGAGTGTTTGTTTTTCAAACTGATGCCATCCCCTAGGATGGTGACAAACATTCCAAACTGCCTCATCGCCTTGGGGTGATTAGTTGATCTCAGTCGTTTGTCAAAGGCGGTTTCTCTGTCGCAGGTAACAGTTGTCGGGGTTTGCACAGCCTCGCTGGGGAGACCACAGGGTTTCTCTTGCCAAGGTCTGAATCGGCAGTGCCACTTTCCAATCAGACAGCCCCGTGCCTGCCTTTGGGACCGGGGTGAAGGCTTTCTGCTGTGGTCATTCCCTGCCCTGCTGGGTGATGTGCTGTGTTCTCCGCATGTGCAATGCATGACACGTTTTGGAAGTATTGTCTTTACTGTGCGTGTGAAAATTAACTTAAGCGTGCATCTGTGGAAGCCCTGCTGTTTACCTGCAGCAGCAGATTCACCGCACTCATGCTGTGCAGGGCAGGTTGCAAGAGAAATCCCTCCTCCTTGCTTTGTGACTTTTGATGGGATGGTGGCTGCCATCACCAGGCCAGTTCATCAAGTTTGGTTTCAAAGGGCAGCCTGAACAATTCAGGCTTTGCCAACTGTTTGTATGCTGACTGTAGGCTGGGCTTCCCAGACTTTTGCTAGGAAGGGAGGTGCTTTTGAAGATGAGGTATGGAAGATAATGTGCAAGGCTTAACCTGTACATTTGCAGATGCTGTGAATTAAATTCTAGGGGTTTTGTGGACATTCTTGATCACAGCAACTAATTTAATAAAGCTTTTCCATGAGGAAGCTATATTTTGTTATATTTATGCTCTTGGATAGTGTGGAGGACCTGGACTGTGTTGTTATGAATTCTATGAATTCATATAAGGAAAATTATTACTGCAGTATTTGTGCACTAATACAACATTTAGAAGATGAGTCATATGAAAGTAAGATCCACTGTATATACATACACTGTTCAAAGAATTTTCCCTTTTTAATGTGCTGTATATTTCTCCTCCCTGCCCAGTCCTATGAAGACCTTGTTCAGAGACTGGAGCCAGTAATTATGGAACTTGAAAGGCAGGAAAATGTGCTTGTCATATGTCACCAAGCTGTCATGCGCTGTTTGCTTGCATATTTTCTTGACAAGCCTGCAGGTAAGTCTTCCTTGATACATTGCAAATGGTCTGTTTTTTTAAAGATCTACTGATTAAAGTTCCAAACAGTGAATTATAACAATTTCCTTTATCATCAGAGGGTGGTTGTGGTAGGCAAGTATGCAAGTGTAATTTTTTTTTTTCGTATTTGACCTACCCATGTTACTTTGTAGGTGATTTTTACTGAGCTGCTTCTCACCTGAAAGGCTGTAATGTTTGTTTTTCTGCAGCTGTTTGAATAGTAATGCTAGGGAAGAAAACAGATATGCTGTCAGATAAAGAGACTTTTAAGTGGTTGACCTGTAACATAATAGAAAAGCTAAGTGTTTTTGTAATCTGTATTTCATACATCATTTGTTGTCCAATTTCTCAGAACAACTGCCTTACCTGAAGTGCCCGCTGCATACTGTCTTAAAGCTAACCCCGGTGGCTTATGGTGAGTAGTATTAAGTATATATAATGTGTAACTGTATTGTTACTTATGTCTGGGTCATCGGTGAAATTTGTGAAGCATTTCAGTTAAAACACACTTTAAATTTATTTTGCTATAAAAGAGAATTGAACAATTGGGTTTGACATTGCATGTGTGTCTGTACAGCTTGGTTAGAATAAGTGAATCCTTTGGTTTACATTTGCTTTGTGTTATGCCAGAAAATATGTATGTATTAGTGAAGGTCTGAAACTACCAGTGGCTGTAACTGCTAGTGAACAATTTTCTTTTGTACTCAGTTTATATGCTATTACACTAATTCCTGTAGCAAATCCATGCCATTTACACACGTCTGGTACAGCAGGTCTCAGTTTTTATTGGTGTATTTGAGAGTATTGCTTTTTAGAAGACAGACAAATTTAGATTTATGTAGGTTTATCACCTTACAAAAGGTGTTCCCCTTATCCTTAAATAACTTTGTTCTCTTTTCCCGAAGTACTTGTTCGTGGACCTTCACACTACCACATGAACCTACCTTGTTTGTTGTTGGCATACGTTTATCAGCAGCTATTATCAGTGCTTAGCTCAGTGGCTTTAATTGAGATTTGCTGCTAGCTTGTAGAGTATGGGATATGGGTTGCAACATGTACTTCTTAGCTTTTAGGCTGATTGCTAATTAAGTTTTGTGTGTGTTTCAATCTCAACTTAACATGTGCCTGCTGTTAATTTTCTTTAAGTGATGGCTTAATTATATCTTCTGATACCTCATCACACTTCAGAAGGTTATTTATAGACAAAGAGAACTATATGCACAGCTTATCAGGAAATGGATTGCCAAAAAATGCTAGTCAAGTTATTAATCGGAAATGCAAAGCTGTCTTTGATTATCAGTTTTGAAAAATAGCAGTCTAGACCTGTACTTCTGTTTTTTGTTAAGTTTCAAAGTTGAGACAAAGTAAATAGCTGTTACACTGTGAAATCTGTGTGAAGAGATTTTTGTCACTTAATTGCAGTGATGTCCTACAGGAAGTAATAGCCACCTATGCTTTGGTGACATCTGGTGTTCCTAGCCTTGCATGACAAGCTGGAGTTTTGAAAGTAGATATTTAGAACAACTAAAACTTTTGGTTTTTTAAGGTCAAGTTTTGGAAGCTGGACTCTCTTGACTCACTAGTCTCAGCCTGTTTCCACAGAAAGTTTTTTGTTTCGGGGTGGTTTTTTTGTGGTGGTTTGTTTGGTTTTTTTTTTTAGTGAGAAGTTGGGTGACTGGTCATAAATTTTAAGAGGGCCTGGATGTTTGCAGTGTTTACACACCTGCTAAATGAGGAAGGAAAACCAGCAGTATGAAATACTATCCTTGTCCTTTTGACTTCAGTGAAAGAAATGTCATGGTTCTCTTTTGAAGTGTTTGATATGTATGTCCGATTAGCACAGTTCAGTCAACGTACTTTTTGGAATTTGACGATCTGAAAATACAAGGGCTGTGTAAACTACTTACACCCTAATATTCTTGTAGCACTGTTTCGAGTTAATGTGTCACTTGGCTCTAGTGAGACAGGATGCAGGATCAAATATGTGTGTTTAATACCTTCTAGCTAATCCTGTTCTGGGGTAACAACTCCCTTAGGAGTTTGCTCTTCCTGGCGTTTGAAGCTAGCATCATTTCCACCCTGCACTTCTGATCTTTAGTAGGGGAACATCTGTTACGGCCTGACAGTTGGATTAGGATAAATTAGACTTTTACACAACAATCCAGTATAGCGGTGGTCTGTGTGGGAGCACACAGGAAAGAGAAACTGGGTCTTGCTGTAGGTATGAACTTGCATATCGGTAATTAAAAATGAGTTGGGAATATGCACATTGTAATTACTGTGGAGTAACTCAAGTCCCTTTAGTTTATATTTAAAGCTTTCCATACGATGTTTTTTTCAGGTCTTAAACTTGGCTAGTGGTAAGGACTGAGAGGTCTCTGTGGAAGGGTCTGCTGTGTAACCTGTCTTTAGTAATGGCCAGCATGAGGGATCAGAGCTTGCTTTTGCTTGGTGTCAGGGGTTGCAGTGGATCTGTGAAGAGAAGGATGACTAGGGTACTCTTCCAGTGGGACATGTGCGCTTTTCCCCCTTAAAATCTGTTTTCTTGTTGACTATTCCTCTGGGTGCTGGCCCTCCTGCACTGTTTGCTCACAGTGTTCGTGACAAATGGTGTTTCTCAGAATAGGCTTCCCTAAGGGAAGGCAAATACTTGCTTTACTAATTTGTATTTTTTTTTTTAAAGTGCTTTCTAAGAAAAGGCTAAAATCACCTTTTTCTGTCATGTAGTAATTCTGTGGAGTGACTGCAGGAAATAAGTGAGCAGAAAAGTCTGAAAACCTATTTGTGATAGAAGATGGACTCTTGTGGTACATCAGAGGAGTTTGCCTATTAATGAATGTTGTGTAGGGTAGTGGTAGCTTACAAAAGTCATGTTCATGTGAGATAAGACAGTGTTTGGCAACCAGCTATTGCTTAAAATGGTGTGGCCACAGTGTATTGAGTAATTGTAATTCTAAAATTTATACTGCCTGAGTAATAGTTGTCTCTTCTGACTGTTTTAATTTTTCTTGCTTCTCTGGAGTTTTCCATTTTTGGGTGAAAAGGAGAAGTTCCTTTTCAGAAGTCAACTTTAAAGTTCCATTTAGCTAGGGGTTAGAACTCTTAAAAGAGTTTTACTCCATGTGTAGAGGAATGGGGTTGCTAACAACAAACAGTGTACCTTCTCATAATCACTTTCACATTTTAAAAAATGAGGACAGCGTTTATTTTATGTGTCACAATGAGATTCTAACAAGTCTAGGATGTTTAAAAAACAAAAAGATACAAACAAGAACTTTCTGACTGAATGTTGTTGTTCATGTATGTTTAAAAATGGGGATTTGTTTCAAAGAAAATAATGATAAAGCTAAGGTGAGAATAGGAGATGGATTATCAGATTTAGAATAATGTTCATCCTCGTGGAATAGATTCATTTCAGTAGCTCTAGCTAGTCAGAATTCGGGAAACGGGTATAAATCAGAAGGGGGAAGTGATTAACCACCAACTCAAAATTAGATTGCATCTTTTCTATAACTTCATTTTTAAAGCAGACAATTATAAAAATGTGTTTTCTATCAACAGGATGTAAAGTAGAATCTATATTCCTGAATGTTGAAGCTGTAAACACACACAGAGATAAACCCGAGGTAAGAATATTTTTTGAATTGAAGAACTTGATGTAATGTACTGAGCTGATTTCCATTGTCCTTGTGGTTAGATAACTCGGCTGAGCATATTTAATTTTACATACCAAGCTTTACTACCAGTTTGCTGTTGAGGGGGAAAAAATCCTTTTTATTGGGCAGATTTGTCTTACATATGAACTCTGGCTGGAGTAGTTTATCTTCAAAAAATGAACGAGAATTTGAAGATATGGTATCAATCTAAGGCTTTGTCATTCAGTAGAAGTAGGGTGTAATCAACAAGTATATTGTTACAAATGCCATGCTTATTTTGGAGAGAGTAAATAATGAAATTGATAGTTTTTTAATCACTGCGATCATTGCTGTATGAAAAAAGAGGAATTGATGATGCCACCTGTGTTTTAAGCCAAAGCGGGAGAGGAAGACTAGATCTCAGGATACAGCAGAACAACTGGGGAAAAGGAAATTGAATCATAGAATCGTTTAGGTTGGAAAAGACCTTTAAGATCATCCAGTCCAACCATTAACCTAACACTACCAAGTCCACCACTAAACCAATTAAGGGTAGAGTAGTAATTTCATGTTTCCTGGCTTGGTGGCTGGATTATTTTTTAATGAAAGTGAAAACTAGGAATCATTAAGGTTGGAAAGGACCTCTAAGATAATCAGTCCAACCATCAACCCAACACCACCATGCCTAATAAACCGTGTCCTAAAGGGCCACGTCTACCCATTTTTGGAGCACCTCCATGGACCCCCTCCAGGGATGGTGCCCCCCCCCCCTCCCGGGGCAGCCTGTTCCAACGCTTGACCACTCCTTCCGTGAAGAAATTTTTCCTAATACCCCATCTAAACCTCCCCTGGTGCAGCTTAGAGGCCATTTCCTCTCGTCTGATCGCTAACTACTTGGAAGAGGGGGACTGACACCCACCTCCCTACAACCTCCTTTCAGCTAGTTTGATCGCTAACTACTTGGAAGAAAGGGACTGACACCCACCTCCCTACAACCTCCTTTCAGCTAGTTGTAGAGAGCGACAAGGTCTCCCCTCAGCCTCAACTTCTCCAGACTGAACAATCCCCGTTCCCTCAGCCGCTCCT